AGATGCGTGTCTCTATAATTCCACCCGGGCCAGGCCTCTTACGGGAAGGAGAAGGGACGTGCTACTGATGAAAAGGAAGAGAGCATGAGCTAACTGTTAACATGATTTCGTGCTAAATTGAACTCTGCACTCCCTCAAAGCCAAGTGAGAGAGCATCATAACTAGAGAAAGGTTTAGCATAGGTTTATTGCATCTTGGAAGACAGAACATTGGCTGCTGTCAGAAAGAGGGACTTTTACAAGATAAATTGGTCAGAAGGGCAGAGATGGCTTAATAGATCCTGACTGCAACGAAGGGACAGTTAGGAAACAAGGTGTCAGAATTGCGCTTCCTCGTTTGACTGGTGGGGTTCCATTAAATACTTTCTTAAAAATCACCAGATGATGCTTTTTAATCAGTTCAATTGGTTTTTAGAGTTTGGAGGCGTGTTACTATACAGCTTTGGGGAAAGCTGTCCCACATTCTTAAAATACCTATCTAACACTCCGAGAAAAATCACTCACTCATGCCACTGTCACAGATAAGTGACTAAAACCATACGAATTACCATCAAGGCAAGCAATAGAGGTTTGAAGCAGGATCGCTGGTTTTGTTTGTTGCAATTCCGTGGCAGTCTGCCAAGATATTTTTAACAGGGAACTCTAGGATTTGCCAGAACTGAAAACGCCTGGGCTGATTCGATCATTTCACAGAGATGATAAATAGCCACAAAGACAGCAGGGAACACATTTAAAGGAATGAGCAGGAGACAGAATGCCTCCGGGCTCGGGTGTGGGTGGAGGCCAGGTCTGGGTTGCTGAGGCGCTAACAGGCCTGATGGCCCTCACACCACCTGCAGCCATCCCGTGTGAGAGCTGTGACCCTAGGAATGACCTGATGCCCCGCAGCTGAAGCAACTTGTATCCCCACTGGGACTGTATCTGGTGTGGCGAGCCTGGGACGCTGTCACAATGCCCAGATCCATAAGCACGTGAGCTCCACATGTAAATATCATGCATGGAGTCTTGTGCTCTCTGATGCTTTAAATGAAAGTGTTCTGGTTGGTAGACAGTCTCACATGCTAAGCCTTCATGATCCTTGTAGCATGTTCTGAAGAAACCACGGTGAAGTGCATTCTCTTCAGAAATTGCGAGTTTGGGGGCTTCCTTGGTGACTCAGTGGTAAAGAACCTTCTTGTCAATGCAGGAGACACAGGTTCGAATCCTGGTCTGGGAAGACCCCACATGCCGCAAAGCAACTAAAGCAGTGTGCCGCAACTGATTTACTGAGCCTCTGCTCTGGGGCTTGTGAGCCATAATGACTAACCCCGAGCGCCGCGTGTGGAAACCCTTGTGCCCTTCAGCGCATGCTCTGCAACAAGAGGGGCCACTGCAGTGAGAAGCCCGTGGCCTGCAGCTGGCGAGGAGCCCCTGCTCGCCACAGTTAGAGAAGCCGGCAGTGAAGGCCCGCAACACCCGAAATAAATAAGATAAAATTATCTTTTTTTTTAAAGAAATTGAATTCGTTTTGGAAGATAGTTTCTTACAGCCTTTGGATATGTGAAACAACGTTCAAGGTCAGGTTTGATGGACGAACGTTCACTAGTGTAGAATCTTCACCATCAGAGCATAGGTTCCTGTGTCTGGGGGTCAGGCCCTTGGTATGGAGCTTTACTTACTTTTCCTCATTGATTTTTTTCCAGTACCCCACTAAGGTACGTGGTATTATTAGGTATGTCTTGCAGACAAGATGAGAACAGAACATTTGAGCTGAGGAATGTTTGTTTGCCCAAGGTCACACAGCCAAGGAAGTGGCTGAGCCCTGAGTCAAGCTCTGGTCACCTGACCCCGTGCACAGAAAGCCCCGTGAGCACGTGCCAGCACTGGCTCAACCAGGAAAGAGGCCCACGAAGAGGAATCCCCGGGCAAAAGCTTAATCAAAAGATGTATGGGGTACTAGAAAAAGAAAGTGTTCAGATTTTTATGGAGGAACATAAGAGATTTAAACAAATAGAGACATACTGTGTCTGAATGAAAGACTCTACATTTAAAAAATCTACATTTAGATTCAACTTAGTGTCTTAAAGAGCCCAATGGGCATTTCATCTGGAAGGATACTTGGGCACAAATAGCCAGGGTAACTCTAAAAGAAGGAAAAAGAACAATCCTGTATAGGTGGGTGGATTTGCAGGGAAAATGTCCAATAATTAAAGCTGTGTACACTCAGAGCTAAATAAGTTTTAGTGGAATAGAGTATTCAAAACAGCCTCTGGTATATGTAAACATTTAATATACTCTAAAAGTAACAAATCATAGCAAGTGGAGTATTCAATAACTAATCTTAAGACAACTGACTAACATTTGGAGGGAAAATTTAGAACTCACACTTTAGATTAGAATAGACTCCAGATAAGTTTAAATGTGAAAAAGAAAGGAAAAATTCAGAAAAATTATAGATAAATATTATTATAATTGTTAAGCAAGGACTGGCTGAAAAGTCAGAAACTGCATCAGAAAAGAATAGACTTAACTACATTAAAAACTCAAATTTTCTGTTCTTCAAAAAACACAAATAAATGTGTCAAAATTGCAAGAAGAGAATTTAACATACTTAAAATTTCCTGGCTCTTTGAATGACATTACTTTAAGATAAACAGATATGCTCAATGCTCTTTATTTCTGTAGCCAGTCTTTTTAAAAATCATAAAGATTACTTTTTGAAAAATTTCTAAAAAGCACAATAAATAAAAGTAGGAGGAAAATGACAAACTAGGGGAAAGCATGTGCAGTATGTGTGATGAAGAAAAATGACTGCTGTTGCTAATACATAAATCAATAAGAAGGCAATTGTCCCATATGAGCAAAGAATGGTAATAAGCAATTTGGCAGAAGAAGAAGTTAAAATTACCAACAGAGCCTTGAAAAAATCTTTAGTCTTCCTAGTAACACAAAAAGTAACACAAGAGGACTTTAAGGTAAATATTATATTATTTTCACCTATTAAGTTTACAAAAACTGAAAATAATAATATTAGAGAGAATGTTGGGGAAAGGATATTTCCCTAAAGGAAAGTGTCAGGAGAAGGTAAATTTTTAGGGAAGGGGGGGGTCACAGTGGACTGGCTAAGCTTTAAAACTGCATACATTTTAACCTAGTAACTCCTCTTAGATATTTATGCAAAGCTAACAACTGGAAGCATGCAAAGATGTAGCAATTTTTATAATAAATGAAAACTAAAAATTGGAAATAGCTTAAATGTTTAACAATAAGGATATGCCTAATTTTTTTTTAATCTAGTGAGACAATGGTGTGCTCTGTAGTCACTAAAAGATATGGCATATTCATTAGCCAGGAAAGAGGTCTGTAGATGAATGAGAGTGAAAAAAGCAGATTATATTTCAATATGCATAATATGATTCCATTTTTGTACAAGAATATATATATATCATTATCACAGAAAAAAATGTTGAAAAGTAAACACCAAAATGTTAACTGCAGTGAGATTGTTAGTACTTTTATATTGCTTATTTGTATTTTCTATTTTCAACAGTGAATATGGATTGGTTTTATAGTAATATATTAGTTATAATAATATAATTAATTTCAAAAATCACTTTTCCTGTAACTGCTGGACACAGATCAGCCTTGTGGACAAAAGAGGGATTGTGCCTCTTGCTGTAAGCCTTGTGTTTGGGTCTGCCTAGAGTAGCTGGGATGTCAAGATAAGGCCACGAAAGAAAAACATGCAATTCAGAGACTTATGCTCTGTAGAGATGAACTCCTGGATCTTAGAAATATTATCTTGCTCCCACCCAATTTCCAAGAAATGAAGTCTCCTTGCCTAGTTTAAGAGGTGTGCAGGGTGACTTGTGAAATGGGTTGTTAGGCCTGCTCTTCAGATAAAGAATGTCTTCATTTTCAATCAGTTTTCCATGAAATAAGGTTTGCTACAGAAGTTGTCCTATTCTTCATGTCCGCCTTGCCCCTTCTTTCCCATCGATCAGACCTCCTGGTCACAAGCTTCCCCCCTGCCTTCACTACACAGACCCAGACACAAGTAGACACGTCTCCCCTTCCCTTTCTTGGTTAGATCTGTGTACCTATCCATCTATCTGTCTATCATCTATCAAGTTGCTCCACTGACCCTTTGGAAACATCTGGTGAGCATTGAACAGGTGAGCCCTGAAGTTGGAGTCTGGAGAGCACGATCTATCGCAGCCTCCCACGCCTCTGAGCATATTTGGACCCTGATAATCATCATTCAGACACAGGTCACTTTAAGTAGAGACATGCTAGAATTTGGTTGAAGGGACTCAAAAGTCAAAAAAAGAAGGGAGTGAGGAGGTCAAATGGTCTGCTTTCCAGGAGACTTGGGTAGAAGCGTGGTCTCACAGGGAAAGAGCCGCAGAGCCAGACGTGTGGCCAAGGTAGCCACGTTAGAAACACGAGTAGAAATGAGCCTGCCGGTTCGGCCATGTGCAGATACCACGTCCATAGCTTATGTCTCCTCACGCCCCGAGATGCCTGGTGATTGAATTCTAAACGGCGCCGAGAAGGCCCCTCCAGATCCTCTGTGGATGTGCACAAAACGGGCTTTTGAAACCATGCCAGGACCACAAGCTCTGGGAGAAAATAACACATGGAAATTTTTTTTTCTAAAGGAAGAAAAAGGCAGTTTGGCATCTATTCATAGAAATGGGATTAGATTTAATTAAAGGGGGAACCCCAGCTCCATCTGGTTCTCTCTGTGTCAGCCCTGGGGAGGGATATTACTGCAAGAGCTAGGGATTATGTCTTGGCTTTTCTAGATTTCCTCCTTAGGGTTCAAATGTAAAATCCAAACCGACCTTTGTTTGGGAAATTGTAATCTGGACGCCGTTGGCTCCCTGACTGTTTATACTCTCCTGATCACCTCCATAGCTGAGTGACCAGCTCTCGGGAACTTCTTGGAAATACACTGTTGTTCTGTTTTTTACAGTGACAATGAGTCCTGAAACTGAATGTGCTAAAGCTTTCCAAGAGAAGCAGCCCCAGAGGAAGCCCGCGGGGCCTGCCAACAGAAGATGAAGAGGATCCGAATTTAATTAACTTCAAATCAATGTAAACACAAGAACCTTTTGCTGTCGCTTCCAACGCCCACTCTTCCGACGCCCAACGCATCACCTTTACTTGGAAGAATGCTTGATTGAGAAGTGCTGGGAAAGGCCTGGATGCCACCCGTCGCTGGAGGAGCCGCGAGGTGCGGTCAGGGCTCATCATGGGGTGCTCCCTCCGCTCGGCTGACCTCTAAGTGACTGGACCCCCACTCTGGCCATGCTGAGTTCCTGTTACCTTTCTGCTTCATTCCTTCGAGTACAAAACTGGACACTGTCTTATCTCTGGTTTCCTTCTGGGTCACCTTGGGTCACCTTACAACCTAAATAGCTGGATAATTTCTCCTGATTAGTCAAGGCCTCTGATAGGTCAGTTACGTTCAGCAGGAACTTTGCTCAAGGTGAGTTATGTCATGGAAAAGACAGCAAACAAAGCAAGAGTTTCAATGTGCATGCCGTCCCGGGGGGTGGTAAGCTTGTTCCTGCCTGCTGTGAGACGCAGGGTGAGATACACAGTCAAAGGGAGGCTATTTGGTGACGTGTGGACCGTAAGTTGGCCAGGTGACAGAGAAATGGGAATTTTCCATGAAAGATCAACTGTTTTCCTCTCAGCTAAAATCAGCTGCTTATTTCCACTTCCCCACGGCTCTTCCTGTCCTCGCCACACCTCCCTGGCGTGTGATGTGTGGGTAGATGGGAGCAGCTGGGCTTCTTCTATCACCTTCTGTGTCCCGGAGATCTTTAAGGTCAGCTGGAACAAACAGAACAGCATCGGGCTCCCTCTGTGCGGGTGGCGCGGCCTCTCCCCGCACTCAGGACCTCTCCTGCCCCCCGGCACAGGTCTGACGTGCTCAACACCACTCCCCAGGACACCCACACCCGTCCGTCAGAGATGACATTCTACGTGGTATTTGTTGACATCCTCCTGCTAGAAGTGACGGCACAAAATCAGAAGGGCCTATTTATCACTCCCACTCACGTAAAATCAATCTCCATTTAATCCTTAATTTTCCAATTCTGACCTTTAAAGCAATCTAGCAAATTAGGACTCCTCAGCTCTTCCACAGCACCCAATATTTTATTCCAGGAAAGAAACAAAGAATGAAAACTATCTTTTACTCCCCACCCATAAACTGAGGCGGGGGTGGGGTGGGGTGCTTGAGGTTCACCAAACATTTGCTGCTGAATTTGGGTTCTTGTGTTTGAAAGCCTGCCTTAATGCATGGCACAAACTGCCCTCCCCCTTTTCCAAATCCCTTACCTTCTGAACTCTGCCCACAATTTTAAAGGCAGAATTCCAGGCTAAGGAGATCTTTCTGTTCCACTGAAAAATAGAACTATCCGGCTGTGTTTAACCACTGCTCTTACGCCATCCTGGGACTGTGCAGAGCTTCGGCAAAAAAACAGTCTTCATGGTACAGAACCACAACAGATCTGTCTGTTGTATTCTTTTTAGCACATCCTAATATGGCATTTTTGTTTTGCATATTTTCTAAAGTCTTTTTCTGATGTGCACCATTTGTTAAAGTCTTTATTGAATTTGTTACAACACTGCTTCTGTTTTATGCTTTTGGTTGGGGGGCATGGTTGGCCAAGAGGCATGTGAAATCTTAGTTCTCAACTAGGGCTCAAACCTGCAGCCCCTGCATTGGAAAGTGAAGTCTTAACCACTGGACTGCCAGGGAAGTCCCCTGTTTTGCATATTTGTATTCAACTTGTGGTCCACAGTGACTCTCAGATATTTATGCCAGAATTGCCATTTTACCAAACTGTCATTTCTGCCTCTTTCATTTCTTTGTTTCTCATCAACATTTTGACTCTCTGAAGAGTCTTTTCTCTCCTAGCTAGCTGTGTAAGATTTTTGCTGAATGCTTAGGTAGGCAAACATCACCCAACCCTGTCAAATAATGGACGTTAGCAGTTCAGAGAAGGACAGGGGTTCTTGGAATCTCATTTGATGAAGCAATATTTTATAATATGGTAAAAATATTCTTATTCAGTATGTGAAATTACTTCAAATTCCAGAAGAAGCCAGCTTCAGCAATATGTCATTGAATATATATCTGAAAAAAGTACTAACCCCTCTAATTGCACAGTGTGCAGAGCACTTTTAAAAATAGAGTTTATTCTGGCAAGACATATGACGTTAGTATGGGTCAGAACCGCCAAGGGTCGCTTCTAGTGCTCTGTATATTTTATTTACTATCCAGTCAAAAGGCATCATAGGTTATGGTCCTTCTGAGAACTGTGTTTTAACCCAAAGTAAATTTTTATGTTTTAGATTATTGTTTCTAAAAATCTTAATAATTTGCCCTAATTAGGACAATCAGAGCATAATGTGGCTTTAGGATATTTTCAAGATGTTTACATGTTATTGCAGTTTTGAACATCTTAAGCAAGCTAGGTTAACAGCATTGCCTTGTTGAACTCCTCAGGAAACTTGTGGTAATAAATGTATGAAAACCTCAGTCTGAACTCAGTGACATGACTCCTTTCTCTGGGAAGCACACAGCGCAGTCAGTCTTGACATCCAAGAGGCGACGGGCCCCTCTCATCATCTTCACAGCTCTGACAGTGTAGAGGGGCCCTTTAAAAATACGTCTGTCTAGTTGTTCGTTTTGGTTGTTTAAACTCTCAGTTTTCACCATCTCTGGAAGAAGTTCCTTATGCTGAGTCAACATAAAGTGTACACATTAGTTTCAGCTCTATCAGAATTGTACAAATTCTGAATATAGTAGAGTGAGAAGATGTAGCTTCACGCTGGGAGGATGGCTGCAATTCTCACTGTGAGGAAAACAGTGACATTTTCTGCTGAAGTACATTTACACATGCTGCTTTTTCACACTCAGGATGAAATCTGGGTTTTCCATTTAGATCTACAATAAGCAATCCAGAGTAGCTTCATAGACTGTATTTCTTCTCTCTTTCGATAACCAGATCATGGTATATTAATGTGGCATGGAAGTAATTAAATTGGTTGTTAATAATTACATAACCCCACCAACCAATTGCCTGAATTATTTATTTTTTTGAGCAGCTCTTTGACACTGTCTTGTCTGACACCCTAATTTTACTTTCCTCTTGGTCCTTTAGGGGGTGGTTATTTTGGGGGTGTTATATTAGATATCTGTTAGGAGGTTTCTAGTTTATTTTGGTTTTTGCCCTTTTCTAAATAATATATCATGTTCACGAGATGGCAATCCATACAGGTATATAAAATAAACCTTTTTAATCAACTCAATAGATGCTCTAAGCCCTTTTTGAAATTGTATTTTAAGAAGTTAAATTCTTAAGGCAAAGTGTTAACGGTCACATGAAGGCTTTAATCTCATTGCTCTACAAGATTAGAAATATATGTTGAACTATTTATGACAAGCAAAGGTGGATGGGGTCCCTTGCCAGTTGGACTCCAGGTGGAGAAGCCTCACTGTCTCCTCCTTTGTTCCCATCACATTATTATCCCTGACCTCTGGTGTCTGCATGCTGAGTTGCTTCAGTCGTGTCCGACTCTCTGTGACCCCATGGACTGTAGCCCACCAGGCTCCTCCGTCTATGGGATTCTCCAGGCAGAAATACTGGAGTGGGTTGTCATTTCCTACTCCAGAGGATCTTCCTGACCCCGGGATCGAACCCATGTCTCCTGTGTTTCCTGCCTTGCAGGTGGATTCTTTACCCATTGAGCCACCTGGGAAGCCAAGTTATAGGTAAATAACTGGACTTTTTTTTTTTTTTTTTTTACAAAAAGCCTATTCACATTTTGTATTTCTTTGGTCTGCATGGACTCAGTTAATAGTCTCTAGATACTGCAAACAGTAAGCACCATCTTTTCCAGTGTAAAGACCAGTAGAGATTGATCTCGGTAGTCCTCTGACTTAGGTGAAATCCCTGAAATTACAAATAACTAAGGAACGTGGGAAAACTGCATGTTTAATAAATGTCAGTTTTCAGAAAAAGCAGGAATTGTAGTGATTCAACAACTTTAAACAAGTTTAAAAATAAGTGTTTAAAAACAATCTGATAGACTAGCAATAATTACAGAGAAGGAAATGGCAACCCATTCCAGTGTTCTTGCCTGGAGAATCCCAGGGATGGCGGAGCCTAGTGGGCTGCAGTCTATGAGATAGCACAGAGTCAGACACAACTGATGTGGCTTAGCAGCAGCAGCAGCAATAATTAATATATGTGTATCCTGCTTTAAAATTAAAAATGATATTAATGTTAAAAAATTCTGTTGGATGCTCTCACAAGCAGTGTAAAGTATTTTCTCAAGAGGTCAGTAAGATCATCATATATCATATTTATCACTTGGCATTTGTCCCAGCAATATGTAAATTCTACCTTGTAAGCCTCATATAAGAAATGGACCCATTACTACTGAATAGAACTGATTTGCAAAGCTATCCAAGTTTTACAACTGATTGAGGGTTTCAGGCTTTTTCTCCCACTTTGCATGCTGAGAATGATATTTTATAATACTTTTTCTTTATGGCTTTACGAACATCAGGTATACATGGTTAAATATGTATGTATAGATTATTCTACCCTCAGCTGCATAGTTTTTGATAAAAATAAGTAAGTACCTACATGTGTATAATCCAAATTGCTCATTTAGCAGTGATATACTGAAAAGTATTTCTAAATTTAATTGAAAAGCACAAGATAGAAGGAAAGAATATTTTCTACATTAATTTCTATATAATTAATGTATACCAGTATTTAGAATAAACATTTATTTACAATGAAATATTTACTAAAATGTTGATGACTAAGTGTAAAGAGGTGAATTATGCCTCTTTCTAAAGGAAAATCCTTTTAACTTCCATGACTATTAAAAAGGATTCTTTCCTTCATAATCATATTCTTTTGCTCCATTTACCTCTTAAAATAAAGGAAGCCATATCAGTTCAAAAAGTTCTTATAATAGAGTTGAACCCGTTTTACCTGAAATTGTCTAGACTAAAAATTAGTTGGATTCTCTGAGTATCTAGAAGGTATTATCACACATTTTTGT